AAACCAGCCATTTCATCCTGGGTAACAATTGTTGCCAATCTTCAGGTGAGGACTAGAGATCACTCAAAATTACAACTGCTCTTCAGGTAGCAGAGATCAGTTCCTCTGGAGACAACAGTGGACTTTTTCATCCTGGGTAACAATTGTTGCCAATCTCCAGGTGAGGACTAGAGATCACTCAAAATTACAACTGCTCTTCAGGTAGCAGAGATCAGTTCCTCTGGAGAAAACAGTGGACTCTGTCATTATACCCTGCTGAGGTCACCACAGCAAACTGACACTGTTTGCCCAAAGCCAGAGCACTCTCCCAGAGCCTCTTTCTAGATTCCGTTGTATTTATTTCCACAACGGGCCTTATTCCTAGTTTATGTTATAAAAATATTAAACATACGAGCATTTGGAAAGCTCATTCATGTACCACTGTAATTTACTGCACTTTCTACACTTCAAAAAAGAAAAAGCAACAGTCTATCCAGCAAGTACTACTTCTTCTTTTTTTAACTGCCCCCAAAGGGGCAGGGTTTTATTACATTTTCCACATAACATACACAAACAATCATAACATATACATACATATACATACATACTAACTAATGGGTCTCTCTAGAAGGGACCACATACAGCCTGTGCTGAAAGCGCTGCACTGGTTGCCAATAGCGTACCGGATTCGCTTTAAAGTGCTGGTTCTTACCTATAAAGCCCTATATTGCCTGGGTCCAACCTACCTGAGGGACCGCCTTTCCCCGTATGTTCCCCCAAGAGGACTACGGTCTGGGGCCCAAAACCTGTTATCTATTCCGGGCCCCAGGGATGTGAAATTGGCCGCCACAAGGGCCAGGGCCTTTTCGGTAGCGGCCCCTACCTGGTGGAATGAGCTCCCAGGGGAGATCCGGGCCCTGCGGGATTTGATGCACTTGCGCAGGGCCTGCAAGACGGAGCTCTTCCACCAGGCTTTTGAGTAGGGTCCCCCAGTCTTTTGAGTAGGGGCCGCTGCCCCCCCCATTATGTACCATCTTTGGGGGGCTGGTAGAGGCCCTGAGAAGAGCCCTGAGAAGACCTTTTGGAACAT